AAAAAAAAAAAAAAAAAAAGGGAGCTAATTTTTTACAAACAAAACAAAACAAAACAAAGCAGTTCATGAATATATCCACTTAGGAATTAGAAGGGGGGCGCGGCGATTGGTGCTGGAATAGCGCTCTAAGTGCGCGCTACCGGCGTAGCGGTCGGTTCGATGGACTCTGGCTGGTAGCAACACGATACGACGAGGGGAAGGAAAGGGGCCCGGCTCAACAGCATCCGAGCAACCGTCCTACGCGACGGCGGGCATCCATTTTTGCTATCGACCTGACGTAGGTGAGCTATGGTGTCGTAAATTTCGAAGATGAATCGGGAAGATGAATGAGAATCTGTGGGTGCGCGCCAACATAGGCGCTCGCCGTTGAATGCACAAGGACGGAAGGGAACTTTGATACAACGAAAAACAATAATAGCAGATGAACACTAGGAGAGAGAAGAGGAAGCTGACTACGTAAAAGATAAATTTGAGGAGCAGAAGACGCAGCAGTCAGGGGAAATGAAGAGGACGCAGAGAACGTAAGCTGGTGTGGCCAAAGCACACAGATGGCGTCGAATCACCAACAACAACAGGGAGAAGGTAGTAGCAGAGCGGGCAGATCACCCCCTCGAGATCGGGATGTGAGCTTAGCAAACATTGGAATGATAATTTATAAATATGAAGAATTTTTTTTTTATGGAATGTTTTTTCAACTTTCATTTCTCGTGGGAATTTTTCTGTTGATTGGGCGTTTGTGATGACAACACTTAAACAAATGGGATTCGGGGAGTGTTTCTGCAGGTGGATTAAAGTATTATACACTTACTCTACCACAGCGGTAATAGTAAATGGCCGATGCTTTGAAGAGTTTGCTCTCTCGAGATCTCTTAGGCAAGGGTGTTCGATTGCTCCGCTGTTGTTTGTAATGCAAATGGAGGTTCTGATCAACAGCATCAGAAGGAACACCTCAATCAAAGGGCTACATATCTCGACAGACAAAGAGTGTCGTGTCAAGGCGCTGGCGGACGACTTGTTTGCGGTCTGTGAGAACAGGAAGGACTCCCTTGAAGCGCTTAAGTGATGCCTGGCTATCTACGCAGACAACAGAAAAATTCCCACGAGAAATAAAAGTTGAAAAAACATTAAAAAAAAAAAAAAAAAATCATATTTATAAATTTTCATTCCAATGTTCGTCCAATTCTAAAATTTTCAATTTAATTTGATAAGTTCCCCTCTAAATATGAGTTTTCCCTTCCAACTACATCTATTTATTCAAGATGGAATGAAAGTCTGGACGAGTTTATGAAATGTTTTAATCAAACTTTCATTTTACTACAACAAATATCTTTTAATTTAGATTGGATTAACCTATTCATGACTGGAAATCCTTACTTAGAATGACAGTCCAATTAAAATATTTCATGAACTCATCCAGACTTTCAATCCATCTCTAGCATGCAGTTCAAATAGGAAGGGATACCCCATTCTTGGAAGAAAAGTTTTCAAGTAAGAAGAAAAATTTTAAAATTGGCATGACATTTTTTAAGATGGAATAAAAAATTAAAATTTAGAATATAATTTTACTCGAGAATTATTATTTAATTCTAGAAAATTTTTCTGTTCGAGTACTCTGAAGCTGCGGTAAACTGGGAAAAGTCTATTTTTTTCCTCCCAGCATCCCAGCAATTACAGGTAAATTGAGGGATGAACAGAGTAGCAACAATAAAGGCTGAAAGATTCCTAGGAGTAGTGGTGGTGTTGGAAGATTGTTCCTCCTCCCAAGGCATAATCCTACAAAAAAAGGTAAAGAATAAGATTAAGGATTGGGGAGAAGCCAGGTATCTATCATTGATCGGTAGGGCCCTGGCTATCAACGTTTCAGTCTTTAGTCTGTTGTGGTTTGTGGCCAAAACAAGGAACATCCTTTCATAGGCGATGAAAGAGGTAAAACGAGCAGCGAGAGTGTTCCTGTGGAAGCCATACGCTAAACCAGGAAAGGGATGTTCGGCAAAGGTGGCTTGGGAGACACTATGCCGGCCACGAGAAGAGGGTGGCATGGACCTCACAGACACAGAATCAGATCCTTCTGTGCCAGTGGATACTGAAGGCAATAGAAGCGGACCAGGACTCAGATTGGGTCCTTCTCGCAAAAGGCATACTGAAGAGGGAATGGGGTTTGGAAAGGAGCGAGGATGTCTGGACTGCAATCATGATGGAAGCCTTTATAGGGAAAAGGATCAAGTCGAGATTGTGGAAGGAAATCATTCAAGCATGGAGGTCCTTGAGGCCAAGCATCAGAATACCGCCAAGCTCAAAGCAACAGATCCTCGCACAACACCTTTTCGATAATCCGAGTGTTACACCAAAACAAGGGTCCATCCTCAATGCCAAAAAGGGACAAGGACAGTTCGGGTACAAATGGGTACAAAGAGGTGTGGCAACGGTTCGAGACATTTGGAACGAAGGAACAAATCAGTGGAGGAGCGCAGCGGATTTAAAAGAGTCACTGGGTCAACTACCAGACCAGGAGGAGAGACTCAGATACATAATAGAAGGGTTGCCTCAAGAGTGGAAGTTCCTCCTGGGCCCAAGTGGAAACAACCCACCAGGAACCTGGTATCATGCGGAGGACCCATGAAATCCTCGCTTCTATAGGCTGTAAGAATGAGATGAAGAGCGGGAGGGTAAGTGTATCATGCAGGTTTTCGAAAACGAAAGTCAGGTCTCTTCAAAGCGTACTTCCTTCGGAACTGTGGAAAGGTATGGCGTGAGTGACCTAGTAGAGTGCAGAGTGAAAGTGGATGAAGAGAGAAACCAAGTACCTATGATAATAGGGGGGGTAGGTCGTATCAGAAGTTAAGGTTAGATTCAGAAGCTTGGGGTTGGTCAGGAATAAGTCAGAACATAGTGGGTTTAGGGAAATTGGGTAAAGGTACCGCTTGTTGTCATAAGAGGGAATCTCAGACCCTGGAAAAGAAACTGATGGACAAATGGGAAAGGACGGTTCATAACATCCCACCACCGAAGGAGGAGGAACTCAAACGCCTCTGGAACCAACTTAAGAGAATACCGTCTCAAAATTGGCTTCCTTACTGTGGCTTTAGTCGCACTTGGCTGTACCTACAGCAGTATGGCTAAAAAACAAGGGAATGGATGGGATCGACACTAAATGTGTGAGATGTAACTGGATCTACGAAGAAGCAAGGCACTTATGGTGGGACTCCCCAAAGTCACAAAGATGGTGGAAGTGGTGGCTCTTCCATTGGAAAGAGATCACCGGCAGAAACAAGTTCTGTGACGAAAGATGGATCTTGTTAGGGGCGTTGCCAGATGGAGAAGCCGGCAATGAAGGCTGGGGTTACATGACGCAAGTCACAAGAGCGGTGATGATGTGGCTTATTTGGAAAGACAGGAATGCGATAAGGTTTGATAAAGAAGAATGGGTGGATAGAAGGGCCTTCCAACAGTTCAAGCATCTCCTAGCCAACGAGATCAGAGCAGACTGGCGGCGCTCCAAGAAACGGAAAGGGATGAATTGGTTCTTAAAGACTTGGCCAAAAGGTTTGTGCTTTGCACATGTAGCTTCAGGGGGAAGGTTAGTCCTGTCAGATTGGTTGGAGTCAAGAGGATGAGTACACGGGCGGCACAAGAGAAGGGGAATTAGGTTTAGGAAGAGTGTAACTAAGAACCAGGACACTCGGTTCCGGTCGGCAATTGCAGTAGATTGCATTGGGCACAGGGTGGGAAGGAGAGTGTCGGGGGGGGTTCAAAGGTACACTGAAAGTGTTCCTCTCGGTCGGGGTGGGCCGGGGTCAGACCGGTGTTGTAGGTCTGTGAATTGGTGGGGTAAGGGTACTAGGTAGGGGAATAGAGTATATGTTGAGTAGTTTGAGCTGGAACTGGAACCGAGGACTTAGACAGGTAGCAGGAGAGTCCTTCGGGACATCCGTTAAAATTGGAACGATACAGAGAAGATTAGCATGGCCCCTGCGCAAGGATGACATGCATAAACCGAGAACTGGTCCATTTCGTGGGCCCCCCTCGAGTTGTTTATGCGATTACACCCGTAGGTGGACTGTAGGGGAACTGCAGCACGGAAGGAGGACGCGCGATTACGTTCTGCCCGAACGGGTAGCTATCTGCAGGTGTTGGCGATCTCCGGAGCGGTGACTGGTGGAGGCTTTTCCGACCCTCACCCTCCTCGCGACTACCGGTAGCCATAACACGACGACTGCACTGGGAGTAATGCCGGACGAACGATGCTGGGAGGGTTCCCAGACTTGCTGGACTTGCTGTAACTTACTGGAAACGCCGGAGTACAGTTCGGGATGCCCGTTCTCATTTCAAATCAAATGAGAAGGCGATGATAAGGAGTAACGTGTGCCACTGGAGAAAGCTGGCGCAAGAACGCGTCGATGATCCATGGGCAGTAGGGGTGCGGATCTGGCAAGGGTTGGTGGCACGAAGTTCATGTGATTGTTTCCTGCGGTTGCGATCGACGAGGAGATCGAGAGGTTCTCGTTAAGTGATAGGCAACGAAGGAGGACCGAAGGGGATGTCGGGTTTCTAGATCAACCTGGCGCTATAACCGTCGGGAAGATGGCTGTGATTACTCCACGGCACGTGATGCGCACCCGATGACCGCCACGTCATCATGCCTTTCTACCGCCTTGCGGTTGCTATGACGAAGAGACGGAGAATGTCTCGAGCCACGTGGCTGGTAACGAATAGGCAGCGAAGGAGGTGCGAAGGGGGTGTCGGCTTTCTCGAGCCACGTGGCGGTACGGTTGTGGGGTGATTGGCTGTGATGACTCCAGGTGATGGCGGATCGATAGACGCCACGTCATACGCAAACACGCGCTAATGACTGTTCACGGGGGGCTGGATGAGGGGCCTGAGCAGCCTCTCGCGGAAGCCAACGTACTCGTTGGCACGCTAGAGCGCGACAGCGGAGGGAGTAAGGTACTTGCTTCCGCGATGGAACCCGCCGGTCTCGCCGCCGGTGCTGCCCCCGAGGCCGCCGGTGGTGCTGATGCTGGTGGCCGTGCTCAGAATGGTGGGGGGGCAAAGCAGAGAAGGCGACGAGTGGGAAAGAAGCGCCTATTTGTGGTGTTAAGTATGACTATAGGGTTTCTATGCGGAGTACCAGTGTGGTGGCTGACAACAGAGGTACATCGAGCTGCGCTTCCTCATGCTTCTATTGCGGCTACGGCAGCGCGTGCTGCTGCCTCACCGTCGTCCCGTCTGTCTCTTCCACGTCACGTCCACGTGATTATCGTCGGGAGCTCGACGGCTGACGTGGTCAGCCTGAAAGGGACACGTGTGGGCGGCGGATCATCGGAAGGAACGAGGAGACGTTCATCAATAGAAGTCCCCCATGATCCAGGATGGAGAGATGGCGGAGCAGTAGGAGATGCAGGAAGAAGAGGAGAGGGAGGAGAAACAGAGCCCTCGACAGTAGTAGAAGATGATCTGCCATTGGGAAGTGATGGTAGATGCGGCGACGGCGGGGATAAAGGAGCTAGGAGGGATGGGTGCTCACGCTCACATCCAAGAGCAGCAGGCGGAGGACGAGGAGGAGCGGAAGAAGCATTAAGAGGAGTTAGTATGACAGACGACTTGTCGACGAGTGCTGATGAACTACGGCAAGAGAGGGGCGGACGCGGGTGTCAGAAAGAAGCGTACGCGAAGAGAATGGAAAAGAGGCGGGATCTCGATGTTATCGCTACTCGTGTAAGGTCCAGGATACTGACGAAACTGGGAGAGAAGAGAGGGAGGAGGGGGGGCAAATGGAAGGAGGAGAGCGAGATCCGACTGACTGTCGGATTTGATGGAATCTCCGGGTGTGATCGGTCGAAATTGTTCGTTATCGGGAATCCCAGTGAGGCTGCTGGGGTCGCGACAGACGCCGCCGACGTGGATGAGGAACCTGGAGGGAAGGAGGGATCGAGGCGACCGCCTCCGACGGAGGACGGAGAAGGATCTATGATGACGTGGCGATGTGGATTGGCTCCATCTGCGTTTTCGCCGGGTGCGTGGGATGCGTGGTCGAGATTGAACGATACGCAATTCGACGACTGGTTAGAACGATACCGACGAGGAGGACACGTGTCGGCAGAGGTAGGAGTCAAGGAGGAGGAGGAGGGGCGGCCACGTCAACAACGGCGGGGACAGAAAGACGGAGCGGCAGCAGCAGAAGATAACGAGCTCACACAGAAAACCTGTCTGCAGGAGCAAGATGAATGGCGGACGCGAGAAGCCGGGGGGGTGTCATTTGCGGAATCGAAACAATCGTTGGGAGGAGGTGGTCATTACACTGTCGTCGTGCTGCTAGAACCTAAGGGACGATTAGCAGGTCGGAAGAAGCGGCCGAAGAACAGTACTGAGAACAAGAAGAAGACGCCAAGCAGTAGAGGGATGAGTAGAAGTAGAAGTGACGCGGAGAGTGAGAATGCGCCTGTGGAACGGAAGGGAACGGTAGAAGTAGGGAGTGGATGTGGAAGAAGCGCGCCGCCAGGCGCTGAGGATGGGGGTCGGACTGAGCGGACGAAGGGGCGGCGGCGGCGGCGTAGAGAACCAAAATGGGATTTGTCGTCTTCTGCTACGGTAGGTAAGTACCGACACGGGTGGGTGGTGTTGCGGATGGGGGATTCTGCTGCCACCCCACCTGAGCCCCACCCTCCGATGAGCCCGGGAAGTACAGCGGAGGACAACAACCATCATGATGAGGATAATCATCGAGAGGAGGAGGAGGATGAGGAGGAGGAGGAAGAGGAGGAGGAGGATGTGGGAGAAAGAGCGAGCGAAGATCTGTCTCTGGATGAGCTGTGGGATGGCGGCTTGAAGGGGGACGACTCTGCGGCAGTGGACTTGATATCTGATGTCTGTCTGAAGTTAGTGGGAGCGAGCGAGACGAAGGAGGTAGGGAGCAACCTGCCTCTCGCTGCTGATGGAACCGCCATCTTGTCCTTCAGTCTGATCAATGCTGAGCCGTCCGATTGGGTCTACGATTGGAGCTTCCATGCTGCGGAGGCGGAGTTTCTCCGCCCCGTGCTCGGCGCGCTTTCCCCTGTCATGGAGTTGAAAGTTGAGAGCCAGGTTCTCTACTACGGGCGCAAGACGGCGATCTCGACCCGGGACCACCACCACCACTCCCAGGCACACATCGTGCCTTTCCACCAACTTCCATTCTTCATCAATTCCGAAGATTGGATATTGGACTCGTCGGTGGGAGCAGTCGGTCGATCGAAGCTGCTTCATTTTGTCGTTTACGTCCCGGCGGCGGACGAGTGTCCATTAAGGCTTCAGGCGCCAAATGGAGAGCTCTCCGCCACCAACGGTTTCACAGTCCCTAGTTGGGGAGGGGTGGTAGTTTGGAATCCATGCCCATGCCCTTGTCTCGAGGAGCGCGGCAGCACCTGTACCAACAGGAGTGATAATATGACGAAGAACAGTGGAGATCGACGTCTGAGAAATACGGAATATACTAGTGGTGCACTGAGCTGCGGTGAGGGGGGGTCGTCGTCCTTGCATCGCCTGTCACAGCGAGAGATGAGGACGATAATGGGGGTAGTTGTGGCGCAGTTAAGGTGGCTCTTCGGATTACGAACGGCCCCGTTTCCGATGATGGCAGGGGAAGGCAATCGACGGGCGGAACGAGCGGGATCGTCGTCATCTGCTGCTGCTGCTGCTGCTTCGTCGGATCTGCGAAGCCGTAAGAATGACGATGATCGGGATCGGCAGAAATTAGGGTTAGCGCTTGTGCCGGCGTCGAGGACAGGATTTGCGGAATGGGAGATAGATATGCTGCTCCGCGGGAGAGCGGCGGAAGATGCAGCGGGGGCCATGTCTATGCTGGCTGCATTGATGAAATTGATTAGGGATATCCCGAAGATGGTGGTGCCAGATATCATCGGGCAAGAGGTGCAAACAGCGATCTCGTCCGTTGATTCCGCTTGGGATGCGGCTGCAAATGGATCCTATGGAGAGGCGGCGGCATTTGCCAAGAAGGCAAGAGCCAATGCCGAGGATGCGTTCTTTCAGCCAACCATCATGGCACTTCGTTACCTCCCGTTGGAGCATCATCTCGCTGTCTACACCCCGCTGTTTGTTCCTATGATCATTCATATCCTTGTCGCTTTCCTCAAGGAAGTGCCGCGGTGGAGACGAATTGACCAAAAAGAGTGAAGTGTGCTCTTATAGTGGGTAAGGGTACAAAGCAATCAACCAACCAATCAATCAATCAATCAATCAATCAATCAGCCTGGCAAACAATAGTCGTGGTCGTTACGGCAGCCAGCTGTGAGTCCCACATTTTTCTTATTGACGGCTCGTCGAGTTCAAGAGTAACAGACAGCCCACCTTTGCGTGTACCCATTTAGTCGTGCCGATGAAAGGCCTCGGAGAATAGGCCGCGTGTGAAGACGGAACCCAGCTGCACGGTCAGCCAGCAAGAGAGTCGGAGAGTCAGCCAGGGAGCTTGTGGGTTTATTTCGTTTCGCTGTGGCCTACACGTGGGTGCGTGGATCCGTTTTTGTGCGTCTGAGGGAGAGAGATTGTCTGATTCAGAGGTAGAGATGTTTTGGGCGTGTGACAGGTTGCGTGGGGATGTGTGTGGCGTGCGAGAGTTGCATTTGTGCGAGTGAGTGTGGGAGAGAGGGAAGGAGAGGGGAGATTGTAAAACCATTCTATTTATGTGAGAGAGAGAGAGAGAGAGAGAGAGAGAGAGAGAGAGAGAGAGAGAGAGAGAGAGAGAGAGAGAGAGAGAGAGAGCGCTCTAGAAGTCTCAGCTCGTGTGTGGATGGGTTGGTGGGTGGATGGAGAGAGAGAGAGAGAGAGAGAGAGAGAGAGAGAGAGAGAGAGAGAGGTGAATTGTTTTTTTCCCGACTTTCCAAGAAAAGTATAGACGTGTGTGGATGCGTTGGTGGGTGTGGGGAGAGAGAGAGAGAGAGAGGTGATGTGAATTATTTTTTTTCCCGACTTTCCAAGAAAAGTGTAGAATTTGGATTAGGAAATTATCAAGTAGGCAGTAGGTGGAGAGGGGGTGGCCGAATCTGCAATGGCTTGATGTGGAGCGTGTGTTACCCCTGTGGTTACGTGATTGTTCTTCTGTGGTTACGTCCTTTCGTTCGAATGAAGTTGCGTCTGTCTCAGATGTTGTGTTTACCAATGTTTCGTGACACTGATCGTCTTGCACAGTACCAGTAGCCTATCGAACGTTTGGTATGGGCGGCGATCGGCCGTCAGCCGGTCTGGTTTGTACCCCTCGCGATTGATGATGAGGAAAAAAGGGCACTCGTGTGCATGTATGTGGTCGTTTTTCCGTGATTGATACGGCCGCGGAAACTCAGCCTCGCTCCGCTACTCACCGAATGTGCAAAATGAGAATGAATCTTTCGCCAGAACATGGGAAGATTCACCGCCTTACTTTTTGTCTTTTGCGCATGTGGCTAGTACTGTGTTACATACCATCGGCACGTCTTCGCGGCCCTCTGAGGGCGCCGTATCTGGCCTGAAAGTTGCACCGAATACAGCTATAATGATCGGGTGTTCTATTCGGGTGAAGACGGGGTAGTAACAATAGCTCGGAGTTGGTCGTCTTTCCGTTCGCGCTTCTTCCTCCTCTTTTCTGCTTTTTCCCTTTTTTCCTCAATCCAGCGGAATCAACCACCCACTTTCTCTGTAGATTCTGTGAGAAAAAGTCTCAATGACAGGAACGTGTACATAGTTTTTTTTTTTTTTTTTTCCTGCCCTGTGGGTTGATCTGTATAAAAAAAAAAAAACAATTTGAGGCCGGGAATCCCCCACTGGAATAGGTGCTGGGGACATTACCCAGCTGTGGCGCCGGTGAAGGGACTGCTGAAGTTTTTTGAGAACGATCCCGTCGCAAGGATGACACGCATAAATCGAGAGCGATGGAGTCTTTTGAGGATGGGCCCCCATCACAAGAACCGACACGCACAAATCGAGAAATGGTCCAAAATTTGAAAAAAAAAAGAAAAAAAGGAGGTATCGGTCTCAATCCGTTCTATTCCCCTCCCCCTTTTCCCCCTCCTCCTCCTCCTTCTCCCCCTTCTCCGCCTTCCCAACCTTCCCGCCATCCCCCCACCTTTCCCCCTCTCCCTCGTCCCCTTCCCCGGCCCCTTCTCCCCCGGCCTTCCCAACCTTCCCGCCACCCTCTCCACCTTTCCCCCTCTCCCTCCTCCCCTTCCCCGGCCCCTTCTCCCCCGGCTGTCGCTTGTGCGCCGATGTACTAAAAAATACAGTATTTAATCTGCTTCCAGATCCTCATTGCTGTCACGCATGACAGATCATCGATTATGCGGATGCGCATCGACAGGTACCTGTCGTTTGATTTACGTCCACCGGCATATCCTACCCTATGTAGCATCGTTGTGGAGGGTCATCCTTGGGTCATCCTTGTACTGAGTAATCTGTCGAAGCTGCGCTCATTGCTGTCACGCATGTCAGATCATCGATATGCGGATGCGCATCGACAGGTACCTGTGGTTTGATTTACGTCGAGCGGCATATCCTACCCTATGTAGCATCATTGTGGAGGGTCATCCTTGTACTGAGTCATCTGTCGAAGCTGAGATCACGGTCAAGATGCAAGATGCAGGGTCATCCTTGTACTACCGTTTTCCCCCGAATACAACGCATCCTCATTTTGGCTGTATCTGGCCGGAAATATAGCTTGTATACATTCATTTTTAGGGTGCGTTATGTTCGGCGGTAGACGGTAGGTAATCTTCCGAAGCTGCGATCCTTCCCTAAACCGGACCATACGAAAAAAGAAAGCCACTTCACGATATGATGCCGTGGGCATCCTCTTGCGCATTGAATAGAGTTGCGCTATGGTGTGCACTTTGTGGGGGCATCATATCTCAGCTTCGAAAGATTACAGAGATGCCCCTGCTGGAATGCAATGGCAATGGCAATGGCAATAGATTCTTTTGAGAGGGATTGTGGAGAGAGGGGGGGGGGGGGAGAGGGAGGAGAGTTTCGACAAGTTGTCGGGGAGATTGTGATTGTGTGACCGATTCATTGATCCTGGCCGTACAGGACTGTAGATGATGGGAGTAACTGGAAGGCAAAAAAGATAAAAGGCGCAGGAGGACTTTCTTGGATTTATCTTTATCCGGCGGCAATCACGGGCCATAAACCGAGTTGGGAATATTTTTGCGGTAACCTTGGGAGCTAGGTCACCGCAAATTTTCTTTCCTTGTTTGGAATGGAATTAACCCCTGCGGAAATGGAAATGGAAATGGAAAAAAAAAATTAAAAAAATGGAAAGGAATTCGAAGACGAAGATACTGTTGCCAGGAAGGAAATGCGATCTCGCAGTGGGTGGGACTAACTGGAGGAGCGGTCGAAGAAAGAGGACCCTAAACCCCAGAAAAAGGACCCTAAACCCAAAAAAATCGAGGCGGGCGCAACCTTGTCGGTTCCGAAATGGGGAAGCAGTGTGACCGGTCCAGTCACTATATTTTTTCCCAAATCCGGCATCCCTGTTTTTGAAGAAAATACGATTTTGAGTACGCAGTGTGAGGGCATACTCACACACTACGGCAGGCCCTCAAAATCGAAAATTGGCAAAATGAGCGGCCAGATTCGAGTCCTTGTAAAAGGAGGCCTCGATCTGGCCGCTCATCTTGTGATTTTGTGATTTTGAGGGCCTACCGTAGTGTGAGTATGCTCTGAGCGTGCCCTCAAACAAGCAAACCCCTTTTGCGTGGAGGAATCGAAATCGGCGGTGCTCGGAGGGAGTCTTTAGCGGAAGAGTTGACGTGGAGCACAGAGTGCCTCAGTTGCTCCAGTCCGTGCCTACCTTCTTCCCCCGAATGCAACGTACGGTCATTCTAGCTGTATCTAGACTGAAAGATGCGTCAAATACAGCTATAATGACCGTACGTTGTATTCGGGGGAAGAAGGTAGATCGCAACCTCTCAGCGATGTCGCGCTCTGTGGAGTGTAAGTGAAATCGCATAACTGACGCCTTCATAGATAGCCAGGCATCAGAGAAGCGTCCCAGAACCGTATGTGCAAGTGATGCCTCAATTCATAGCCACACACACACACACACACACACACACACACACACACACACACACACACACACACACACACACACACACACACACAGAGAGAGAGAGAGAGAGAGAGAGAGAGAGAGAGCTTTCTCGGCCTCTTGGTTAAAAATAGATCTAGTATCTGTTTTGATCAGCTCAATATCTGATCCGTGGTTCATCGTACTATATGAGGGGAAAAAACGAAAAACATGGTGGTAGAAAAAACACAGCAACGCATGTACCTTCTTGCCTTTGCTGATATGATCTGTGAGCGGTGGTGGTGGATCTTTTTTTTTTTTTTTAAACGAAAGGTTTAGTCCATTATAATTAGCGATTGAGTACGTGTGCACCTAAAAAAAAAAAAAAAAAAAAAAAAGAAAAGAACGTGTGCACTTACCCTTTTTCTAAAATCCCTCCTCATGTACACTAAACCACCAGTACGTGGCCCAACTATCGGCCGCAGAAAAAAATGGAGTAGATACGTTTCTAGTCGGAGGAATTTGGGCCCTCCTCTAGTGGCCCGTACGTACGTTTCCTAAAATTGTGGCTTGTATACGGGCGCAACTTTACGAAGTACTGGCGGTTTAAGTACACATGTAGTATTTGTGTATGTGTACTTTGTTCTTTCAAACTTGTGTACTTAGTTTTTCAAACTCTCCCACAAACTCAGCTTCCAAGAGCCTGATGTAGTATTTGTTGTGTACAAAGTCGTCTTTTTAAAACTCCCCCCACAAACTCAGCTCTTTTTCAAACTCCCCCACAAACTCAGCTGTGTACTTGGCTTTTTTAAACTAAACTCCCCCTTCCACAAACTCAGCTTCCAAGAGCCCGATCTTGATACGTCTGATTGGGGACTGAGCTGTTTTTATGTTTTTTCAAACTCCTCTAACCAACCGGGGAGCATGACACGTAGCTAGTGATTGCTTTCAGAACAAGGTTATATTTCTTATAACGAACAGCTCCTACCATTTCTTACGCAATATGCAATATGTGCCGCTGCATTCTTTATAGCTACATTCTTTCCAGCGACTGAGTTGTCCATGCTTGCAAATAGGTCGGCACCTGGTTTTGGATCCAGACTTTTTTTCAAAAGACGAGCGAAGACACTAGTTTTCAGCATATTACATGGTTCTTTTTTTTTTTTAATTACATGGATTTTTTTTTTTGAAATTACATGGATTTTTTTTTTTTTTTTTAATTACATGGATTTTTTTTTTTTTTTTAATTACATGGATTTGAATTTTTTTTTTTTTAATTACATGGATTTGAATATAAGGAAAGTGACATCCGATTGTTTTCCAGGATACTGCCTGGTACCAACTGCTTATCGGAATATACGGATTATATCTGGCGAAGCCATGTGGAAGTGTGTTTGTGATAGATCCACCACAATTTTCTGCACCTGCTCCTACTTAGGAATTGCTCGGAAAAAAAAAAAGAAAAAAAAAAGAAAGGAACTGCTCGGAAGCGTAAAAAGGTATTGAGCTGAAGTGGGGGCCATTTTTGTCCCGGCTATTTTATCCACGTGGTGCAGTGTTCCTGGACCAGCACAACCGAAGTGCAGGGTGGGGAATGTACCTATTCTGCATCTTGGGGTTCGTTCATTCATGGGTTCATTCGTTCGTCAGCCTCATCACTGGTTCAGGTAAAGGGTCAGTCGTGTTCCGCGTTTGTCTGCGATTCGATTGGATGTCGGTACCTTCAGCTGCCTCCCTCCCCTCCAGCACCTGCGTTCCTCCATCACCCACTTTCCAGATGTATCTGGCTGCAATTACGGCCAGACCTCGGTGAAACTGACTGTGATCATGCACTTGTACAGCTTCCCGATGTACGGATGCTGCACTTGATTCACAAGGGATGATAGTTGCTCCCTTCCACAAGGGATGACTGTTCTCAGGCCGCCGCACTTGCTGAGCACGGGGCTATGCCCTGCCCCACTTGCTCAGCATGGGGCTATGCCCTGTGCCACTTACGGAATATGGGACTATGCCCTGTCCCACTTGCTCAACAGAGGGCTATGTCGCACTTGCTGAGCATGGGGCTATGTTGTACTTGCAGAAATTAGTATACGTGCGACGCACATGTTGCTGGTCCATGCACTGTCGTCGGGTAACCTGCCATGGCACCAGTGCACACTGTTTACATGGCCTAGATCAACGAATCAGGGTTTATGTGGATTTTTGCACGCAGTCGTGCTTCGTCCTCATCATCCTCGGTGGCACGTATTCTGCACATACGTCCACCGCTGTTCCGTTCACTGTCGTCGTGTAACCTGCCATGTCACCAGTGCACACTGTTTACATGGCCTAGATCAACAAATCAGGGTTTATGTGGAATTTTGCACGCAGTCGTGCTTCGTCCTCAGCATCCTCGGTGCCACATATTCTGCACATACTTCCACTGTGGCTCCTCGCTGGGGCTGAACCAGGATAGGAGTCAAGTTCGCCAACGGTATTCTGCACATACTTCAACCGCGGCTCCTCGCTGGGGCTGAAGCGCGAACCTGCATAGGAGGAGGCAAGTTTGCCAACAAAGGGTTGGATGAACTCGACAGCAAGGTAGTAACCTCGGGCGCTCTCCTCTCTCGTGGTTTGTCAGTGAGGATCTCT